TTTTATATCATTGTTTTATATTATTTATTCACAAACAAACATTTTTATCATTATTTGAATTCCTTTTACATACTTTTATGAGTTGTACAATTATTGATAACTTATGAAACTCTAAAATTATTGGTTTAGTTCATGGTTACACTGTTGAGCAACTTTGTTATTTATTGTTAGTAAAATATGGGTTTTAATACTCCATTGATTTGTTGTGAACCAAATTTTATTAATTATTACGTTTACATGTTTTATCTATAATTTTTATTGGGATGCTACTCACCAAAAACTTTCTTTGATCTCAGATAATGTAGTTGACATGCACTTCCTGCTAATCATTGAGGGGCTTTATTATTTTTTGAATAGTGGAAGCATGCTTCAATCATTTATTTTAATATAAATATTTATTATATTATATAATGGTACTTAGTGCTTCACGTATACTGTAGTTAAGTTTTGGTTCTATTTTGTTATCCTGTAATCTGCTGGTATGGAGCTAAGCTCCTTTTCTGGATTGGTTGATAGGTTTATTGATTATAAAAAATTTGAGATGTCCTAATTACAGGGGAGGCTTTACCAAAATTTTCATCGAATGTTTAAGACTCTATGAACTTTATAATTATACATATACACATATATTATTTAATTTATTGATCAGTATAATTTATTTATCATTATTATAGCTTAATATTTGGATAATTAAGGTTTAAAGAATATGAGTTTATCTCATATTCCGTGCTAGTCACACCATTAGGACTAGGATGTAACAATAAATTTGACATGTATGATAAGGATATGATTAATATTGTTTCAAATATTTTTATATTTTATAAATAATATTTACATTTTATTATTTTAATTGAGATCAATTGAACAGTTTGACCACACCCTAAGTAGTTTAATACCTGATCAATTTAATACCCTTTTGATTCACTCTGATACGATCACACAACCTCTTCCCTTCTCCTCTTCAACGCACAAAGCTATTTTCTTCCCCGTGAATGCCAGCCCTAATTGCTCAAGGTTGAATAGCTGATCCATCAGGGGCATGGCACTCCTTTTGTTTCATAGAGAACTAGCGTGACCTATGGATTCCTGAGCACAAAGATCCTATTTCTTCTTTCGCTTTAATCCTCCCATCCACAGTGTCAGTCCAGTGTGTCAACAAATTTAATCTACTTGGCTGCTAATCATCTTTCACTAATAGAGTTAAGGGATTTGTTAAGGGTTTTAACAGTATTAGAAGGAAAAGAACTAACGGGCTTGATGGTTGAAAATATAAGGGTTGGATTACAATAATTGAAACTATAGGACTTAATTCAAAACTAGGGTAAATTATAAGCACCTGCAAAGGTATTTTCCCAACAAACTATTAAGGGAAATTAAAGAAGATAAGATAGGGAGAGAGAATAGGAAACTAAGGCGGACCCACTATTAACAAATAAAACGGAAATGTAAAATCGAAGGTTTAAAACTTAACAATAAAAACAAAAGTAGAAAAAGATAGTTTGTGGTTGGTATAACTATAACCACACTTCTGGAAAGAAACATGAGTAAAGAACTGGAGTATCTTTTTTATGTCAACCAAGACATGTATTATGACTTAAAGGAGGAAATAAATTTCTTTTGTTGAGCTTTAGCACCAAGTCACCAAGTTGGATAAAGGAATCCCGATGATTTTGCTAGAAGCTATAAATCCAAAGGAGTACACTTCAAAGACAGACTGCCATGAAGATGTCTGGCGCTATCAAATTAGATCCATAAAGCATGAGATGTTGAAGTTCTATACCTTTCAAGGAAAGGTTCATTGAACAGTAAGGTTTCTTCATTTTCTTGAACTTAAAAATGTGAATTTCGCAATATGACAATTGATGCAAGGATGTTCTTATTCTCTTGTCATTTGCAAACTCAGTGTTCTGTATATGATAACTGAAAAGATCTAATTCATTAGCATGTTTGCAATTACAAGTAGATCTAATGAAGAGTAGATCTTGGTTGAAATCATGAATGAAAGATTCAGCAATTCTTTTCATATTTTGATGAAGGGAAATATCCTTGAATAGCCAATTTTTATGAAGTAAGAGGAAAATGTTTACTAACAACTTTGTTTTGGTTTTAATACAAAACCTTTAAAACTTGCAAAATCTATTGAGAGAGACCAATCTCTGAAATAGATGTAGATCTAATAGATAGAGTTCCAAACCAAATAGCTTTAATGATTGGACATTCATAGAAAAAATGATTTATGATTTCTTGGGTGTCATAGCCAAAAATACAGTGTTGAGAGCAATTTAAATGATGAATACTTAATTATCATTCTCTCTTTCATATTTCCGCCATTAAACTTTGTTACGCTTTCTTTTTCCTTTATGTGCTTCAATTGTGGACACTTTCCACCTCTTTTATCTGGCCCAATCCACGAATAGAGTGGATGCTTGAAAGTTGAAACCTTCCTCTCATGCATAATCAACTCGTGAATCCATATTTACGTGACTCATTTTGAATAATGCGTGTAATATGAAAAGTCACGCAATATTATTCCTCGAGGGTGCTATGTACTTTTCTTTCATGGCGAACAAGCTATATAAATTTCTAGAACTCTTGTGATGTCATGTATATGGTAAAGGAGAGCAAAGAAAACAATCTCAACAAGTGACCTTAATTATAAAAGAAGCAAATAATATGGGTACAGTAATGAATTAGGAGATGAAACCCGTTCCTTTCCAGAGACAAAATGAAAAGAAGGAAAAAAAAAAAACAAGAAATCATATCATTCTTTGAGTGGCCCGTACTCTTATGTGATTCTTGCTTCCATATAAAAAGCCAAACAATTATCAATTTTATTTCTTCCACACATTACTCAGACATTTCCCACTATTCCTTCCAATGTGCTCTCTCCAATCACCAACAAGAGGTTAGCGTATACTAATTCATGTTCTGAGTCCATATGTATGGTTGATTTGTTATTTTCCTGTAAAAGCTATACGTGGAGATGATATCATCAATTTTTAATCATTCTTTAGCTTTATTTTACTTTGTTTTGGAATTGAAAATTCTTCAATCCTTTCATCTCTTATTATATTTTATCCACCAAACCCATTTCATTTTGGTTTATGTTAATTAATTCACATTCTCGTCCTCGTTTAACATCTTTGTTATTCTTTCTTTTAAACTTTTGATCAAATTAACTTCGATTCACTTTTCAATTCTTTGATCTATTGATTATCTTTTTTTTGGGGAACTATATTGATCGAAATAAATTGATGATTATTTTTCATTTCAGCATGTTTTGTGTTCATAGTTTTCATCCTCACATATTGAAAGCATCCTTTTCTTTTGCTGATTCATGTTTGTAAGTGTGTTAATTATTTTTGGTTGAAGGGATTTCTCTCATTTATTGCTTACCAAGAAATTTCGTTTTATTTCCTGTTGTTGCATATAAATCTCATCACTGAAGACTACTTGTCAAATTAATTTCTGAATGAAAAATAAATATTACACACTTGTTATGTATGTATATTGATTCTTTTAATTTCTCATCAATACCTAAATTTTTATGCAATTTTTCTTGGCAGATCAAGTGCTTTTGTCTTCTTGAATTGAGTGAAGATTCCTTCTTTTCTTTCTTCTTTGTTCTATTCTTTTTCTAAACAAAAAGAAAAAAAAGGAAAGCAAGAGTTCTTTGTGGAGCACCATTGAGATCTCTCTACAAAAAGGTAAGTATATATTTTGGTTAAATTGTTCATGATATTTTTTTTTTCATTTATCCATTGCTATATATAATAATTTTGCATTTTCAACCTTCTAATTTTAAATTTACTAGGATTGTCGACATGCGTTAAATTTGATGTGCTAACTTGTTTTACTTGCAAATTTAATGAGACAAATAAACTCGACTTATTTAACCCTTGAGTTAAACAACTGAATTGGCCTATTAAGTTACGCGGGTTAGCTCATATATAACTCATCATAATATTAAAGTGAAAAATCCAAATTAATAAATCATAATATAAAATAAATAATTGTAACTAAAGCTTCGGAAAACATCAGCAGGAATATATCAATTATGCCAATAAAGAGTTCTTGCTTTAGGAATTTGAAATGGGACCATTATTTGAAGGAGGCAATTGATGATCTCAAATGCTATTTAAATAAAAAAAAATGTCAAGATGTCTTGGAATAATTAAACTGATATTTTGTTTTATCTTCCGAAAATTAAATGAAAACATTGTTGTTTATCATCTATTTAAATTTCTGCTGATTTCTTCTTTATTAATTAAATGAACCATTTATGCCATTCTGCTCAAGTACAGCCATAGCCTGCAACAAGGAAATTACAAGCATTCCTTAATTCGTTCTCTCCAAGTATTTCTCGAAAAAGAGGTCAGTTCAATATTCCTTTTTTTTTCAAAAATATTAATTTATTGACCCTTCTTTTCACTAATTTATAGTTCAATAGCTTTTTTGTTTTTCAATTAAAAGCCCAGTCTTCATGTAGATAAAAACAATGGTTGATTTTTGTGCAGTTATTTCTTATTTCAGATTTTTTTTATTACTCATAAGTATTTTCTATTAAAGGAAATTCTATTCAAGACATGATTGGATACTAAATGTGAACATTTTTTCAGTGAGGATTTGAATTTTAATTTGTCAACTAGCCTCTTTTGCTAGACCAAACCCTTGTTGATTTATTTCAGATTTTTAATTCTCCTTGTTTTATCCATCAACCTCAAGTACATCTTATTTTACCTTCTAAAGTTTTATTTTTCTTATCTACCAAAAGAAAATTTCCTGGCTATCTCTAAAATTATTACAGTCAATGAACAATAATTTGTTACTGTAAAAAAATTCTCTTAATTTCATGAAGTTTTAACACATCTTAACTGTTTTTTTTTTGGGCCCCCAATTCCAATTCCTTTTTCAATTTTAAATTATCATTCAACTTACGCTAACAATTTTCCTCCTGTTTTTTTTTTTTTTGTACAGTTTTTTTAATTGGCTAATCATTGTCAAAAGTTTCATTTAATTTGGCTACTTCAATCATCACAAGGTAAATTTTCCTATTTTTCATACATGATTATATATGTATATATATGAATCATTTCTTGTAGTCTTCAATTTAATTGATTGTTTAGATTTTGTTGCAAGCAGGGTAAAATATAGGATGAATTAATTTTAATTAATTTATTACGAATTAACATAAATTGATGAATTAATTACTTACCCAATTTCAGACAAAATTAAACAATCAGCTTTGTTTTTATAGAACCCCAAACTTGCAACATACAGAAAGCTGTAAAAGGACACTAACTAATAAAGGGTCAATAAACATGCTTGTGTTGTATAATTATTTAAGAATATTAATCTACAAATCTTTATAATTTTTCTCAATTTTAAATTAGGTCATTGAAATTTATTTTGTTTGAATTGAGTCGTGGAGGTTGGTTTGTTTGATTTTGTTTTCTATTTTTATATTCTTAAAACAATTCCATAGAGTAATTTTTTAAAACAAGTTTTGGAAACAAAAAATGAATTATCCTTTCAAGATATTAATAATTCTCGAAAGTGCTAGCCCGTGTACTCTAATTTTTTTCAAACATAGCAATTAATTGATCCTTCTTTTTACTGATTATAGATATTTCTCTCATTGGTGAAGAAAGTTGAGCTCTTCCACTCAATTTAAGCTTTTCAATCCACACTTCTATTTCTGCATTCAAATATTTGTTATCAAGTATTCGAAACCAATATTTAAAAAAATGGATTTAAATCTTATTTAGTAGTAGCCTTATATTATTAATTATTTTAAACACTAACACTTGCTCTTTTTGTTTTTTAAAAGAAAAGCTAAGCTACGTGTAGATTTTTTTTTTTTGAGTTTTATGTAGTTATTTTCTAGGGTTAAAATCATTTTTGCCCCTCAACAACTCAATCAAGAGTGTTTGATATCCTAAACTTATATGTAATTTAATTTTTACCTCCAACATTGAAAATTGTGCATTGGACACTCCTACCATTAAAGAAGTTAAGTTTGGCTGTTGACTTAAAAATTGTAAAAAAAAAAAATTAAAATTCCATGAAAGGCCACAGAAAATTACACCTAAGATCCCTATAAAAAAATTAATACCAGTCAAATCCCCTAAATTATATATAAATATCAGGATATAAATATTTTTCTTACTCATGTAGAAGACAAAGAAAATTTTGACAAACCAATTTAAACCAGCTACTGGTAATTAGCATATCATAATTGCTCATAACAACCAATTTTACAAATCTTTACACACAATTTATATACTCCCTCCGTTCAAAAATAGAAGATATTTTTAATCGAATCTCATCCCTTAATAAAGTAGTTACCTACTTTCAACCATATCTTTTTATATTTACCTCTATTAAATGCTATACAATAACTATAAAGTCATTTATCAATAGGGGCACTTTTTAAAAAAGGAAATAATTATACCTCAAAAGATTAAAAATGTCTTACATTTTTTAATATCTAACTCCTCAAAAAATGCTTTATATTTTTAAATAGAGGGAGTATAAGTTAACTTTTGAGATTTATATATTTTCTAGAATTTTGCAACTTAACAAGCATATTTGTTATTTATAAATTAATGCATTTTTTACACTAGTTGTAAAAGATCTTACCCTTTTTTCGTTACTATCAAAAACTCTTGTGAATTTTATGAAGTTTTAGTAGATATCCTAAAGTTTTCTTTTTTGGCCCAAATTCCATGTACTTTCTCTTCAGGAACATCCCTTCTTTCAATTTTAAATTATTATTCAACTTACACTAACAATTTTCCTCCTATTTTTTGTACAGTTTTTTGAATTGGCTACTTTGCGATCATGTTGAGATTTTCGTACGCCCTCCAGATCATCATTCTCAAAAGTTTCATCTAATTTGGCTATTTTAATCAAGCAAAGGTGATTTTTCCTTTTACTAATAGATGATTTGTTTTATACATACATATATATGGACCATTTATCTTATAGTCTTCTTTTTAATTGATTTTTAAGACTGTCACAAGTATGATAAAATATAGGATGAATTAATTTTAACTAATTTATCTTGACATAACATAAATTGATTAAGTACTTGTCCAAATTTAAAATTAATTAAATAATCAGCTTTGTTTTGATAGAGCCCCAACTTGAAAAGTACAGTAAGTCGTGCGAGAACTAATAAATAGTAAATCAAACTTGTGCGTATAATTATTTGAAAAAATTAATCTATAGGTCTATATGATTTCTTTGAAATTTAAATGAGATCTTTATAATTTATTTTGTATAAATTAAGTCTTTATAGTTTGATTTGTTAAATCTTTCCATCCTTCGAGGTTAAAATCCCCAAATTTCTACTTTTTAGAAATAAGATTTAATTGATTTTATATTTTTATTAAATGATTATATGACTTTAAAATTAATTATATAATTTTCATAACTCAAAATTAATTTACACAGGTATATATTAAAAAAATTTCTTTTTTCTTTTTTCAGCCAAAATTATCAAAACAAATTCCCTATGAACTTTAAACTTTTTAATTTGGAAGAATTAATTTTTTATTAATGATTTTGATATGTAGGGATTAATGGATCTAAATGGATCAAACTATAAGAGATTATTTTAAGTGAAATAAATTATAAGGATCAAATTTAAAATTGAGAAAAAATATAAAGGGCCTAAGAATTAAGTTTTCCTAATTATATTATGGAAAAATTACATCCGTGAAACAAATTTATTTATAAATAAGTTTTATAAAATTTTAAAACTACAATCAAGTGATTCCTTGGGACCTGAGTGTAATTTGTTATTGGGGCAAAAAGATCAACAATAATACCCCCAGCTATTAAAAATACATTTCATTAATCAAATAATTTACAACTACTTCATCATTAATTTACAACAATCATTTTAATTTTTTAGAATTGTAATTTCACATATCAAATAGTTATGCTAATCATACATTGCAAGGTTAATTAATACTAGTTGTTTTACAATTATCACTTAACATTTTATAACTATAACTTCACATATATAATAGTTAAACTGATCATGTATTACTAACAAAGTTTAATAGTAGTTGCTTATAGCTATCTCTTTAATAATTTACAATTATCACTTAAATATTTTACAACTATAACTTCATTATTTTTTATAGGGGCAGTATTATCTTTTTACCTCAATTTTAAATTATATTCAAATTCCAAGGGACCTATTATGATTTTTAAATTTTATATAACTTATTTATAAATAAATATGCTTCACAAGACTTATACGTAATTTTTCCTTATATTATATATGACTTTTGATATCTTAAAGTGATTAAAATTTTCTCACTACCTTCATTTTTTTTGGATTCTATTTTCTTTAGTTTCTTATTTTAAACCATACAAAAAATTAGGCAATGATTTTTGTTTTTTGTTTTTAAATAGGGCGCATCATATCCAAGAACTACTCAAAGAAATTATTTATAGACAAAGACTAATACAGATGTTAAAATGAGAACGTGACTTTTTTTTTTTGAATGGAACTTGTTTTTAGTCATTGTCTGTAAATAATTTTTTTGAATGATCCTTAGATATGACTCCCTAAAAAATATGTCCTCACATGAGGGGACACTTACCTTTAAGCCAATCTCTTAATTGAAAATACACTGACCTTCCTTCTATTTTGTTAAAATTACATAGACTTTGCTTTTATTTTTAAAACATATACTTTAGTTCCAGTTTTAACACATTTGACAAATATTCCATTAAATATTTTAAAATATGTAATTTTTATTTGTAATTATATTAAAAAATTGAAATTATTACTTTGCCCTTATAATCTAGTACATTCTCTCTCCCAATTTAAGGAACTTTAAACAATTAAGTATGACAATATTTAAATGAATAAGTTTAAAATATTGTATTAAAATTAAAAAAATGATTACCTTATCATATTAAATATGTATTTCATTTTTGAACATCTATATTTGAATTATTATTTTAGCTAACCTATATATTTTATTTACTTAAAAATACTAAATAAATGAGATTTTATCATTTGTAAAAAATTAAATATGAACAAAAAGGTACTCCTTCTGTTAAAAAATGTAAGGCATTTTTTGAGAAGTTGAACGTTTAAAAATGTAAGGCATTTTTAATTTTTTGAGGTGTAATCATTGTCTTTTTTTTAAAAGTATTCCTATTAATAATGACTTTATATTTATTATAGAGTATTTAATAACAGTAAATATGAAAAGATAGGATTAGTTTGAAAGTAGATAACTATTTTATTGAGGGGTGAGATTCAAGTAAAAATACTTTACATTTTTAAACGGAGGAAGTAAAAAAATATATCCATTATCCTTGGGTAAATTAAATGATGTTTCGATAACATTTATGTTTAAAAAGCGAATATTTTGGTACAACATATATATGGCTTCACAGTCAATTAATAGTTATATGGATGGAAATAAAATCCTAAAAGTAGAAAGGAAATTTGTTTTTGCTAACCATTGATTTTAAGGATGGCTTGTATAAGTATTAAAAATATGAATAAAAAGGTAAAATATACCAAAATATGAATAAAAAGGTAAAAATATATCAACTTTTGGATCAATTAAATTATTTTCAGATAACGTTTATGTTTAAAAAGGGATATTTGGTGCAACATACATGACTTAATGGTTAACTGATAGTTAGATGGATGAAAATAAGATCCTAAAAATAGAAAGGAGGTTTGTGTATACTAACTATTGATTTTAAGGATAGTTTGTATAAGTTTTAAAAATAAAATGAAGGTATTCATAATTAAGGTAAAATAGAAGGGATATCAATTTATTTTACTTTAAAAAAAAGTGAGTATTGCATACTTTTTTGGCCAAACACAATTACTTACATATTTAATATTGATTCTTCTTGCATAAGTAAAGCATTTTAAAACATCCGTCTCTTTTCTTTTCAATTTTTTAAAAATTTAATTTACAAGAAATTATTTTATACTTTATTACTTATTACTTTTCCTATTAAATATATATACTTTCATTCATCACTAACATTTAATAATGGTGTAAAAGAAAAAATTTATGATAGAAATTTAATGACGTGACTTATAAAACTAAACGAGAAATATTCTCTTCCTAACATATAAATAAGACCAGAAAGAGTATAATTTATTAATTGCCTAAATTTTTCATATGTCAATAGTAAGAATGTTTGCAATTTTTTATTTACTTTTGAGTTTATATCTTATGTTCAGGATAAAAAGTCATCTCTTATTGAAATGGAGATATGCACCTCTGTTATATTAGAAATTGTGAAAACCTTTATCAACGAATCGATTCACCAAGCATATTATCCATTTCGATTCAAAAGATATGTTGAAGATATTGTCAAAGAAAAAGAAAACCTTCTAACACACAAAGAAAGCATACATGATCGTGTCAAAAGAGCCCAACAAGATGCTCAAAAGATTGATATTCTTGTTATGAAGTGGTTGGATGAGGCAAATTCTCTCATAGATGATGCAGTATCATTGGAAGAAAAGGCAAGAACAAACAAGAGTTGCTGCCTTGGGCATTGTCATAACTGGATTTGGCAATGTCATTTGGCTAAGCAACTCGAAAAAAAGACAAAAGAAATGGTTGAACAAAGAAACAATTGGAAATTCGATCAACAATTTGCACGCCTCGCTACACCTCCAGGTATGCCCTATTTTTCTTCAGAAGGATTTTTCTTGTTCCACAGTACCAAATTAACAAAAGATCAACTTCTTGAAGCATTGAAAGATGACACGATTTCCATGATTGGGTTGTATGGCATGGGTGGTTGTGGTAAGACCACCTTAGCCAAACAAGTTGGCAAGGCTACAATGGAGCTTTTTAACAAGGTCGCCTTGATTGTTGTGTCGAGTTCAGTTGATAGTGCGAAGATTCGTGATTTAGTTGTAGATCAACTAGGTTTCAATCTTGAGGGGCGAAGTGATTTTAGAAAAGCTCAAAGTTTGTGGTCCAAGCTAATCAATGCAGGAAATATTTTAATAATTTTGGATGATGTTTGGGAGAGGCTTGATTTTGAAGCCATAGGAATTCCCTTTAGCTCCAATTTCAAGAGATGAAAAATTCTCCTAACTACATGGCTTGAACAAGTCTGCAAAGTAATAGACTGCCAAAGAACTATTCCCCTGTCTTTATTGAATGAAGAAGATGCATGGATTTTGTTTAAGCATTATGGTCATATAACCGATATGACCCCCGACAGCATGAAGGCTTTAGCACAAAAATTTGCCCATGAGTGTAAAGGATTAGCTATTACAATTGCAACAATTGCCTGCACTTTGAAGGGTAAAAATATGGCTGAATAGGAAGAAGCATTGGAAACATTAAGAGATTATGAATGGATGAATATTGAGTAAGGCCTTCGAGATCCATATAAATGCTTGATGTTAAGTTATGAGAACTTAAAGGATGAAGATGCCAAGTCAGTTTTCTTGTTATGTGCTATATTTCCAGAAGATTATGAAATTCATGAAGAAGAATTAGCAAGATACAGGATTGGGTTAGGCTTTCTGGGGAGACTCAGCTCCTTTAGAAAAGCAAGGAACCGATTAAGTATTGCTAAAGATAGGCTCATTGATTCTTGTCTACTGATGAATGTAGAAGATAATAAGCAATGTGTCAAAATGCATGACTTGGTTCGTAATGTAGCACTATGGATAGCAAAGGAAGACAATTGGAGAATAGCAAGTCGCCAGAGGACTAAAAAAATATTGTAAGGATGTGGGAGTATGGAAGATAATACAATAAGATACTTATGGTTGGATGAAGTGGAATCATTTCTATCTCAGTTGCATTTTCCCAGCCTCATTTTCTTACATGCTAGTTGGAAAAAGCAGCCACTAGACCAACTCGATGAGTTTTTCAAAACACTATTAGAGCTAAGAGTTTTGGTCCTTAAAGGCAAAATATATTATTGGCGAAGTAGATGGCAAAGTTCATTATTTGATTTTCCAATTAATCTCCATTATTTGCACTTGGAAGGATGGGCATTAGGTGATATAACTTTTGTAGGGAGTTTGAAGAAGTTTCAGACTCTTACATTAATGGACTGCTCTTTCAATTGCTTACCAAATGGAATATCTGAACTGGAAAGCTTCAAATTGTTGGATGTACGTGGATGTGACATTGAAGGCAATCCTTATAAAGTGATGGGAAGATGCACAAAATTGGAGGAATTATATTTTATTGGAAATAAAGGCCCATGGATTGATGAACAAGAACATGCTTCTGATATTTTTGGCGTAAAAGTTGATGCCGCAAAATTGCAGAGGTATAGTATAGAAATTGGGAAATTTCATCGGTGGCAGGTTGGTGATGATTTCTGGAGATCCATTAGAGGTATAGGCGTTCAACATTTTGATGTCTCCACCACAAATGAAATGATAAAGGATCTAGTGCAAAGGGTAGAGTGTCTTTGTTTGAAAGAAATTCATGGAGGAGCTAAGAATGTCGTTCTTGAGATGATTCAAAGAATAGGGAGAATGGAAGCCGCAGATTTGAATAACTTGATTTTGGATGATTCTCAAGGCTTAGAATTCTTTGTTGACGTTGTAGATAAAAAGATTGTTCATTTTCAAAATGTCTTGTAAAAATTGATTTAGATAGACATACGCAATATGGGGAGTTTGAAAGCTTTTACAAGTGGCATATGTCTGAAAGCATATCAGATGCTAAGTATGTGCAATCTCAAGGTATTCAAATTATACAACTGCCCATTGTTGACTCATGTCTTCACATTTTCCTTTGCTCAAGGTCTGGTGATATTGGAAGAGCTTCTGGTCTATTTATGTAAGGGGATGAAATATATAGTAGCAGATGATGAAATGCAGCACAATCAAGAGAGGTCTAATTTTGTGTTCCAGAAATTGAAACGACTCACTGTTTATAATTGCAAAGAAATGGAATACTTAACAACAACTCTACATGTTCAAGGCTTTGCTGAAAAATTGGAATATTTGAGTATAAATAATGTTCCCAAGATAAAATATTTGTTCCCTCAATCTAATGTAGAACGTCGTGGCCGCAACCTTGATGAGTTCCAGTGCATGGAGCTTCGCAATCTAAAAGAGCTAGATCTTCAAGGCTTGCCAAATCTAATTAGCATTTTCTCAGAGAATTATTATTCAAGATGCTGTTCTTTGGTGAGCTTGATATTGGTTAGTTGTCCAAGGTTAAAGATGAAGTCATTAGGTGGTCAACTTGTTGGTCGTGCTACCTTAGAGGTATTGCTCCTTACCTGAATCATTTTTCTTCATGATTAAAATCTCCATTGTATATATCGAGAAATTAAAATAATTTCGTATTTAGGAAGCTACAATATCTTTTCATGTTTTTTCTAGTCATATTATACATTGATAATAAGATGTATATCATTTGCAACATTAATTATTTTCAATAAAATTTTTTGAATCCAATGACATTAAAATAAAACATCGATTTTTTTTTTGTGTGGTTATTTACTTAGTTAGAAAGTTTATCTTGTCTGTATGCCTTACATATTTCTTTTTCTGTTAAAAAAGATTAACATTAACATTACACCAAAAATGAAAAGATTAACACTAACTGTTTATGTGAACATTCATCCATCAATTATTTTGGTAAATTACAGTTAATTAACGTATTTTGATATTAACTTTATTATCTAAATACATATGCTCGTTTTCTTTATTGAGTCCAAATATATATATATATATATATATTAGGACTTATTCTTGTGGAGGATTAAGACGGAATTAATGATTTTGCAATATACGTGTGAATTTTATATTATTTTAAGTTCGGTAAAAAAGAAAAGAAAAGAAAGTAAAGCACATTATTGTTTTATTTTGTTAATGTCATAGGTTTAAATTCCAAGTTCAGGTAAATAATTGAACAAATACAAGTTGAATATATAATATGATTTTTTTTTTACATTTTACAAAGCATTCTCTTTATGATCATTTGCACCTTTTGACAGGAATTGGTATCACTTTCACAAGTCACTCAAAGCAACCGTATGAGTTATGAAGCTACTCTTTTGCAAACTCTTGAATTTATTGATGTTAAAGATTGTCAAGAGATAGAATATTTGTTTCAACTACAAGGACTTGCCCTCAATGAAGAAAAGCCAACACCACTAGTATCAACTTTAGAACGAATGTATCTATATGGCCTTCCTAAGTTGAGATATATATGGAATCAAGGTCCCATGCAATGTATCAATCTCCAAAGGCTTGAGGGGCTAGATATCAATGGATGTAAAGAATTGAAATGCATTTTTACAGGAACTATTGTGAGAAGCCTACCACGTTTGTGGAGAATAAGCATAACAGGGTGTGATGAGTTAAAGCAAATCATTGAGGAAGAGGAATCTTATTACCATTTGGAAACCACTTTAAATTCTTCTACTCCACCTCTACATAGCTCCCAGAACATAGGTTAATATAACTACCTCTTATATTTTCTTCTTGGTTTTTTAGTTTTTTGACTCATTAATTTTAATATTATGTTATGAAAAATACTTTAAAAGAATGGAAAGTAAAATATAGTGTTCTAAGAAAATAAAAGAGTAGTAAATAATGAGATGAAATAAAATAGGTGCGATCTTAAGTTTTTCAAAGTCAGTATAGTTTTAAAATCATTTATCTATGGACGAATATGGTTTCAGCAAGGACATCAAATTTGTGCCATCTTTGGAGTCTGATTGTAACAGATTGTCCAAAGTTGAAATGGTTGTTTACACAACCCATAGCTCAAACCTTAACATCATTGTGGTTGTTGAGAATTGAGAGATGTAAAGGGTTGCAATATGTTATGAAAGATGAGAGAGCTGAAGGCAATTAGAGCGCAGAGGAAGCAATTGATGATAGCAGGCCATGCTTCCAAACCTCTATTACCTACATTTGAAAGATCTACCAAATCTCATTGAAGTATACAAGGGCTTTCAATTCCAATATGTCATCAAATCTCATAAAGTAGTGAACTGTGCAAAATTGGTCCCACAACCACCAACAGGTGCACGCTTTGTCTTTCATGTATTTATGAATTCCTAATTAACCTTAATGCTAATTTCAACAATCAACTAATTATATATGATTTTTTTATGGAACAAACAAGTTAAACAACTCACAACACCACTCACACGCTCACATACTTTTGCAGCGCCCTAAGCCTTTAATTCCTTACAATCTCAAATCATATTTACGTTTACTAATTTCATTGGACTTTTTAATTTGATGAAGTCGTGAGGACAACAACCAAAGATGAAAATGAGTAAGTCACAGGAGACTCAAAGGAGGACAAAACAATTGAAGAAAAAGAAAAGAAATTAGTTCCCTCTGACCTCAACAAGGCAGCAAAAAACATCATTTTGGAATCAGAGTTTCCTTCCCAAAGAGCTTCTAGTTTCAAAAATGAAGCTGGTCGTTCTGGTAATTCTTACGATTCCTAATTATGATTTGAGACTTAACCTTCATTATTAACTGCTTCTTTTGAGTACAATTATTAGGAATTGTGACTGTTTTTTTTTTATATTAATCATGTGCACAATTAATAGATGAAGTAGCACTAGAGTTGTATAACACAGAAGGCATCGCCATCCCAGGTTTGCCATTGAAGCCATCAATATCTGCATCCTCTGTTCATGCTCTGCCACTTGAAGCTGATGGCTCATAACTTCATTCCTCAACTATTTGACAAGCTTTATTATATGATTATTATTCTAATGTTTAATTTCTGCTCCTTTTCAATGAAATGATCGACACAAACTGATGAATTTGGCATGGGTATTGAATTTTCAAGAATCTGGTTTGTTAATACAGTAAATTAAAGGCACAAATATGATCCATCTTGGATATTCTTGTGTTATGTCTGTTTATTAATTGTTCAGTTATTGATATTTCCTTTATCAACATTGGAGAATCTATATATTATATTGTTGGCTTTGCGGTGCTTTATGTTACACAAAGTTGGAGCAGATTTTTTCAATAATGCGCTTCTGTTTTCATAACGCATGCAAACTTTTACTATTGGTGCATTTATATTTAAATTAATGGAATGATAAATGAACTACATCCGTACACAAACATACTTATATATACTTTTTATGTCACTGTCTATAAGAACTTTACTCTGGAAATAAAGCGACGCAAAAAAAAAAAAAAACTTATGAATATAAGTCTATTGAATCTCATTTCATGTTTGATTTTTAAAGACTGGACTTAAACTTTTCTCTTTTGTTATCACTTTTTATTCACATATTTTTTGGAATATTAATAAAATAAATCTTAATCCCAAGACATTTTATTGTTGATGTGAGAGCTGCAAAATGATTGTTTGAAATGTTTATCATATGCACGTGCACCCTCTTTTGGGTTTCCTAGCGTGCCACCAAACATGCCCTTAGAGATCTGTCAATGCAGACATTACTCAGCAATCTACAATTGGTTCGGTTAGTTAATCATAAATTCTAGGCTAAAATGCATAAAATATCATTGAATTTTAACACAATTGTATATAAACTCTCTCACTTTTAAAAGTTTAAAATTAACTCTCTAATCTTTAATTATTTTTCAAAATCCACTATTACTAATTATGTTATTTTTTCATAGGGATTAAAATGTCATTCAATTAAAAAATACCAAAAAATAAAAATATTATATTATATAACTATTTATAATAAATTTTTTATATTTTTTTGGATAGTTAAGGCATTGATAACAAAAAAAATTATTATCACTAAATAAAATTTTAAATATTTATGTTTATATTAGTTTTATCCATATTTTTTTTGTAATCAATGGTGCATGATTTTATTGTTTTAGAAGATAAATTTTTATTTGTATTTTCATGTTAGATGTAATGCATATGGCTAAAATATTTAAAATTTTAAATATTACTATGTTAGATTAATTTATCTTTTAATACTAGAAAACTATGCATCATTGATAACAAAAAAATAGAAAAAAAACTAACACAAAAGTAAATATTTAAGATTTTATATGGTGATAATAATATTTGTTTTGGCTATTATCAATGCTTCAACTATCCAAAAAAAATATAAATATTTTTTTATAAATAGTTATACAGTATATATTCTTGTTTACTAACATTTTTTAGTTTAACGATATTTTAACCTTTATGAAAAAAAATAACATAATTAACAATTGGGAATTTTGAAAAACAAAATTAAAAGTTAGGGGGGTTAATTTTAAATTTTTAAAAGTGAGGGGGTTATATGCAATTCTCTCAAAATTCCGAAAGGTTTATACATTTTAGCTTAAATTCTATGTAGTCATATTAATTTAATAAATCATTTAAAAAAGGCTTATCGGAGCATTTAAATCTTTCTCATTGTTTAGTTAAAACTTGTTATGTGGATTTTCCTTCATTACTGACTGATTGTGTTGGGCACAATGTTGTCCAATGCAAAAGAAGTTGCAAACCCGAGTTTACGATTGAGGCTCTCAATATCTCTATCCTCTATTCAAGCTCTGCCACTTGAGCAGAGTTTATATAATCATCATTCAATGTTCAATCTCTCAATATCTCAATACCTCTTATATTTTCAATTGGCTAGTTAATGACTATGGATTAACAAACTGATGAATTTGCAATATAAAGTAAGCATATGTTTGCTAATAGATATGTATAGAGGAGTCGCAATTGCTGGTTTACCTTTGAGGTTATCAATATCTCTGTTCCCTATTCTCTGTTCATGCTCTGTCATTTGAAGCTAAAGCATTAAGTTGCTCTGCTTTTCAGTTAATTAATCGATGCTTGTGGACTTTTGGATTCAAATCACACATCTTTTATTGTTTGAGCAATGAATGAATAAAGGAAAGAAGATAAGGGGGAGAGAGAAGGCATACCCACTTGTAACTGTTAATCATTCTCTGTTCATATTTCTACCATTAAAGTCTATTACGATTTCTTTTGCCTGTATATGTGTGCTTTAATTGTTGACGACACTTTCCAGCTCTTTTATATTGCAGAGCCCATGAATAGAGTGCATGCTTGAAACCTTCCTCATGCTTAATCAATTGTGAATCCATATTTATCGGACTCATTTTGAAATTGGTGAAATTGGTGCGCGCGAGTGCGTAATATGAAAAGTCAAGCAATATTATTTACAGCACTCATACTTCACAAAATATGTCAAATTAATTTGATGTGTTTGAAGTATCCTATGACAATTATATGTTGGTCAAATTGGTGAGTTTATTGAAATTCATCCC